GAGAGGGAGAGGGAGAAGCAGGCTTCCCGCTGAGCAGGGAGCCCGATGTGGGGCTCGATCCCAGGACCCTGGGATTATGATCTGAGCTGAAGTCAGACACTTAATGACTGAGCCACTTCTGGGGCATAGGAAATCAAAGAATGTTACTTTTTTATGCACATGGGGACCTCATCTACTAGTCTGAAAATTAAAAATAAAAAGCAAATAAAAATAAATTTAGGTGAAATTACACAGAATGATCAATTGGAGTAGAAGTACCAAAACTTTTTCTTCTGACATTATGTAATTGGCTTCTGACCACTTATAGCTACCCTGGGACAAGAAAATAAAAATATCTAGTTACTTACATCTGATAGTTTCACAAGGTATTTCTCAAATCTAGGTAAGTTGAGATGCCCACTTTCATTAATATAACCTAAAAGGAACAAAATCTAAATTTGTACTAAAAGCGGACACTATTTTTTCTAAACAATTCTACAAAATTCTTTTTATAAAATGTTGAATGTTGGCACTCTACTAACCAAGAAAAAACACTCAGAGTTGGGCTATATAACTGACTCTAGTGTCTATGAACTTGATGTTATAATATAAAACATGTAACAACTAAAGCAAAATAAAAGAAATTCCAGGTTCACATAATAATCCTACCACATTTCCAACATCTGGTAATAGTTAATTACATATGTTCTAAAATCTATCCAGATTATTCATTTAATATGTTAACTTGAGAAGAACTAATGCCCTGCTATTCTGCTGTCTGTTTGATTCAGCATTCACCACTGTTTATCAATTTCTCAATTGAAAAATCTTTCCCTATTAAATATTGTGATACCTATCCATTCAGAAAAATGAACTTCTATGCTTTAATATGAAGGGAGCTAAGTGAAATAAACAACTTCTGCTGGCTTTCTTAAACAATCAAAGGCAGAGATTAGTCAGATATCAATAAATGAGGCTGCTTAACTCTTGTCATTTTCTTTGCTTGTGAACCACTGAAAATTACAACCCCAGAGCTTGGTGCCTTAGACCAAAAGAAACCCCCAATTTTTTCCCTACTGTAGTTGTGCATGCAATAATCTAATAAACTGAGTGAAATTTTTAGGATTAGCTGAGTGCTAAATTAAAGTAGCCTCCAATGAATATTAAACTTTTCTTACCACCAAGTTCTGGCAGGATGGTAATATATGTTCCATAAAGAAGAGGCAGTGCATCATGATTAATATGTAAATGAGGTAGATGAGGGATAAAATCATTGCCAACAAGAAATCCCATCAAAATCCAATCATCTATTATCCTTTCAATATCATATTTAAAAGTGATCTTGTCCTACAGCAAAATGGAGAAAAAAATCAAATTGTATGGAAATTCCTGCTAACACATCTTTGGTCCACAGCTATATTAATACTTACTTTTAATACTGAAAACTCATAGTCAATATACTCTCTCATTAAAGACAAGTGTAGGAGGTGAAATGTGGTTTCTTCTGGTGCACATACCCTGTAATTAGATAATCAACACAAAATTAATTATATCTTTAAGGTTCAAGTTTAAAAATGCAGCAACGCTTAAAATAAAACATCATTAGAAGATAATTAATTCTTGTAATCCAGGCATATAATTTATATGAAAGCTGCAGGGTAGTGTAAAGATAGAAATATAATAGATATAACATAAAGTTCAAAATAATTGGTCTGCATTATGCTTTCTGTGGAAAGATTCTCAGAATTAAGAAAGCCTAAATAAGATAGAACAGATATAAGAAACCAGTGGGATCTGGCCCATTTAAGTCTGGTCACCAGCAGAAAGCATACAGATAAGTGAGTATTTATACTTTTCTGCCTATTGCAGTACAGTCTAAGGCTTCAATGGTGAGGCACCATCACTTCTTTCCTCTTATCTTTCCCTGGCTTGGTTAGGGGTCTATATTCCAAGCTATTGGCCAATACTCCAAGTTTAACCAGAAGTAAGAATATAAACTGACAGTAGTATTTTAAAAGGATTAGATACCACGAGCAAGTGGATTTACCCTGGGAATACAAGGGATGGCTCAACACAAGAAAATAAATCAATGTAATAGATCACATTAATAAGCAAAGGAAAAAACACCATACAATCAACTAGCAAAAAAAACATTTATCAAAGTCAATACCCTTTCATGATAAAAGTACTCAGCCAAGTAGGGATAGGAGGGAACCTCCTTAATATAAAAAAGGGAATTTATGAGAAATCTACATTTAATATAATTGATGGGAGAAGACTGAAGGTTTTCCACCTAAGATCAGAAACAAGACAAAGATGCCCATTTTCACTATAGCTATTCAGCAGCGTTGTACTTGAAGTCCTAGCCAGGGCAATTAGGCAAGCAAAGAAATAAGAGGTCCTTAAAAAAGAAGAAAACTATCTCTCTATTTAGAGATGCCATGATTCCATATACAGAAAATCTCACAAAATCCACAAAAAGCTACTAGAGCCAAAAAATGAATTCAGTATAACTGCAGGAAGCAAGATCAACACATAAATATCAGCTGTGTTTCTACATACCAGCAACAAATAACCCAAAAAAGAAATTAAGAAACAATTCCATTTAGAATACCATCCAAAAGAATAAAACACTTAGGAATAAACTTGACCAAGGAGGCAAAAGAAAAAAAAACAAAAACAAACCAGAGACAAAAAACTGAACTTACAGATGCAGAGAATAGACAGATGGTTCCCAGAGGTGGGGGAGTGAGCACTGGCCAAAATGGGGGAAGGTGGCCTAAAGGTGGAAACTTTCAGTTATAAGATAAGTAAATCCTGGAGATGTAATTAATGTATAGCATGGTGACTACATTAATTTTTTTTTAAATAAAAGGAAAAACAAGTAAGAAAAAAAAGCTGATAAAAGACTTATACACTAAAACTACAAAAGGCAGCTGAAAAAAATTAAAGAAGACATAACGAATGGAAAAACATTCTGTATTAATGGATTGGAAGACTTATTATCAAGCTGTAAATAGTACCCAAAAGAATCTACATATTCAATGCCATCCCAATCAAAATCCCAATGATGTTTTCCACAAAAACAAAAAAATCCATCCTAAAAATTATTAATCTCATGAGACCCCAAATAGCCAAAATAACCCTGAAAAAGGAAAACAAAGTTGGAGGTTTCACCCTTTCTGATTTCAAAACTTACTACAAAGCTTCAGTAACCAAAATACTGTGGTACTGGCATAAAGACAAACATAAAGATCAATTGAATAGAATACAGAGCCCAGAAATAAACTCTTGCATATATGGTCAAACAATTTTTGACCAAGGTGCAAAGACCATTCAATGGGGGAAAAGATACTCTTTTCAACAAGTGGTTTTGGGAAAACTAGATATTCACATGCAAAAGAATGAAGTTGACCCTTACCTTACACCATATACGGTTATTAATAACATGGATCAAAGACCTAAGTGTATGGGCTAAAACTACAAAACTCCTAAAATTGGGAAAAGCTTTATGACATTAGATTTGGCAATTTCTTGGATATTATACTGTAAGTACAGCAATAAAAGAAAAAATAGACTGGACATTGTCATAATTAAAAAACAAATTTTGTGCATCAAATTTCAGCAGAGTAAAAAGGCAACCATGGAATGGGAGAAAATCTTTACAGATAATTTTTCTGTTAGATGATTACTATTCTTAATTTAACTGCTGTTCTTTCTTCTAACATATATGCAATATGATTTACCTTTGTGTCTTTTTGCCACCAAACCGAACTTCTTCTCTTAAAAGAGAGAAATGTGCCTCGTGACTTGTTAATCCAAGCATAATCTGTTGAAAAGTGATTAAAAAATGTCTCTATTCTCTAATTTTTTATAGTATCAGGTTCATAGAAACAACTAAATAAAAAACATTTCTATATAGAAAAACACATGCTTATTTAATAAAAACAATTAGCACATTAAATACACAAATATCAAAATCTAATCCACTTACTGGTTATGAATGGGGTGAAGTGTGTTTTTCTAAGAAAAAATGTTTACCTTAGACTCACATAACCTTTATAACAATCACTGTTTATTTTATTTCAATCCTGATTCAAACAAAACAGATGAAACAATTATGAAGCAATCAGAGAAATGAGAATACTAAATGGTTATTTGTATATTAAACAGTGATTGTTAATTTTTATTTTATGTAGGATAATGGCATTATGGTTATTTTTTAAAACAACACTTCTCCTTTAAAGAAACATTATAAAATATTTATAGATTAAGTGATACAATGTCTGGGATATACTTCAAGAGTCAGAGGAGTAGGAGAAAGGAGACAGATGGTTAGGAATAAGAAAATGAAAATATTTAAGGTGGATTATTTAAAGTTGAAAATTATTTAAGGTGGATAAAGGACATAGGAAGGTTTATTATATTGTCTTCTCTACTTTATGTTTGAAAATTTCCGTAACAAAAAGTTAAAACAGGGCGCCTGGGTGGCTCAGTTGGTTAAGCGACTGCCTTCGGCTCAGGTCATGATCCTGGAGTCCCGGGATCGAGTCCCACATCGGGCTCCCTGCTCAGCAGGGGGTCTGCTTCTCCCTCTGCCCTCTTCCCTCTCATGCTGTCTCTCATTCTCTCTCTCTCAAATAAATAAATAAAATCTTTAAAAAAAAAAAAAGCATAGTAAAGTTATTTGGGTCATGGAGTTACCAGATCAGGTATTATTAAAAGTTATATATCAGGCATGAGGGTAGAAGCGCCCTCTACCCTGATCTCAGCAGAGTATTCATAGCACTAGGATCAGTCAAGTATGAAGACTATAGAGACCTGTTGATCATAAACTAGAACAAAAGAGTTCATTTTCCAATTGTTTAAGAACCTTGCTAATGGCAGAAGTAGCAATCCTTATTATGTCTCCAGTATTTGTTTCCACAGCCAGAAAGCTTCTTATATAAGTCTCTTAGATATTTAACTATAATGGCATAAGGTTATAATAATAATAAACATTATACCTACCAAGTCAGCATCTAAACCATAAAGACAATGTCTGGTGTTTGGATCATGATCTGGCTTTGCTTTCTCCGATCTGATAAATTCCATGATTTTATGCTCTCCTTCTCCGGGAGTCTAAATATATGTTTAAAAAAAATGTGGTAATAATGCTATGCTTTAGAATATTAAATTTTTAAAAATCTCTTTAAATAAAAAAAGGTAATAACCTCATGGCCTGAGAAGTAGATGGTAACTCCTTGCCACGACTTATCTGTAGAAATTTTCATATTTACAAAATACTTCAGATGTTCATGTAACCTGGCCATGAATTCAGTCCCTATAAATAAAAAGTTTCAAAAAGTTTATAATGAGAGAGACATAAAAAGCACTCTTTTTATGTTCCCAGGGACAACACGAAATTGGATCTGAGTGTCCAGGAAATAGTTAGGTGTAAGATCTCTAAAGAAGTCAAACCCCTCATGCTTATCTTGAAAAGCAAATAATTTTGTACCTTTCTCTAGCAAATATTACAACTGTTTCTCATTTCACTGCTCACCCTAAAATCCAGCTAAAGTTACATAGGTAAGTCAAGAAATGTTACTACTGCCTCAAACTATGCTTCACATATTTTCACACCAGGGCAGTTTCAACTCTCTAATGAAACTCAATCTTCGGGGCGCCTGAGTGGCTCAGTTGTTAAGTGTCTGCCTTCGGCTCAGGTCATGATTCTAGGGTCCTGGGATCGAGCCCCACATCGGGCTCCCTGCTCAGTGGGAGGCCTGCTTATCCCTCTCCCACTCCCCCTGTTTGTGTTCCCTCTCTTGTTGTCTCTGTGTCAAATAAATAAATAAAATCTTTAAAAAAAAAAAAAAAAAAGAAACTCAATCTTCTATTTCCTCTGTTGGATTCTGAACCTTTTTTTTAAGGCATGCAGCTTTAATTAGATTGCTAATAACAACAACTATTATTATTACTACTATTTATATGGAAAATTATTATTATTATCCTAGAAACTGAGTCTACAGTGATTATGTTTCAGGAAAAGTCCAGATGGTCAAGAGTCAATGGCAATGCAGTCTTAAACCACAATTAGGATAAAATTGATTATTAAATCAAGCAATGTATGATAAAGGCACTTAAATGAAAGACAAATTACCACAGTAAAGAATTCATGAATAAATAAGATTTTAAGATTTTTTTTTCAAAGTAAAGGATTGTAATTGTTAGACAAAGCTCTAATAAATACAGAGTATGTTGTTGTACACAAAGTTAAATTAAACTTATAATACTAATAAATTCATTAAAGTCATAGAATTTTTACCTGCCTTTAAGAAGTACAATAGTAAGTACTCTAAAGTAGGAGAACGGGTTTCTTATCCTGATTATAACAGCTAGCTATGTGAACGTGGGTGAGCCACAACCTCACTGGGTCAGTTTTCACACAAATAAATGGTGGGAGTAGGATGGATCTTGTAAGATCCTTCTAGGTTTGAAGTTCTGTGCATCTGGGAGAGTTCTGTACACAACTGCTCTTATCGACATCTGCAAATCCCTAGAGTGGGTTTTCATAGGAGCACTTATAATCAAGGTGACCAAAACATCTCCTGAGGGGACACAACTGGGAAAACAGCATTTGGAATTTTAAGGACAAAATAAGTAGAGGCTAGAAAAAAAAATGCATTTGAAAAAAAATTTACATTTACATTTAAATCTCTCATAATTTGGGGTGCCTGGGTGGCTCTGCCTTATGCTCAGGTCACTGATCCCTGAGGTCCTGGGATTGAGACCCATGTCGGGCTCCATCCTGAGCAGGGAGCCTGCTTCTCCCTCTCCTTCTGCGCCACCCCCTCCCCCCCCCGCTCATGCTCCCTCTCTCTCAGATAAATAAATAAAATTATTAAAAAAAAAATCAATCTCTCAGAATTTTTCTTTCAGTGAATTTACCTGGTGTAATACAGTTGGAATCAAATCTGGCCTCTGTAGGAAGAGTTTCTCCTTTTTCTAATGCCTTTTTTATTTTGTCTTCTGCCTCCTTTGCTGACCTTAAATGTTAAGTAAAAAAAATATCTTAAGGTTTCTGGGAAAAAGTACAGATCTTTACATAAAGTAAACTGTTATTTAGATGCTTCTGTAACTAAAATACTAATTAATCAATTTTAGGTTCAAAACATAATACAAGTTTTGAAATGATTATAATTGATAAAGATGAGCCTCAGAATTGTTCATTTTTACTTATTTAAAAAATTGAGTTTTTCAGAGACAGGACTATACAAGTAGACATTATAACAGTATAAAACTGACACAGAATGTTACAAATAGTTATAAAGCAATTCTTTTCTTAAGTATATAGCAAATCAATTCTACAAACAAGCTCAAAAGTTGAACATTAAACATTCATCATATATACTACATTCTATATTTAATAGTAACATCAAACAAGTACAGTATTAAAATGATCTAAAATGATCTAAGAATATTAATATAAAAATAACTGTACAATTTTAATGGATATCTTTGAGTTTCCTTATAAAAACATTTAAAATATAAGCCTAATAACATTAATGACATCATTTGCCAAAATCATCTTATGTTTGAGGCAATAGGATTTACTAGAAAGAACATGAATTTTAGAGTCGGACGGACCTAGGTCTGAATATAGGCATCCCAATTCCTACCTGCTTCTCCTGGAATCCATTTCTGGCACACTGTATGCCACTGGCATGTAAGTTAGGAAGCTCTGCTTTATGTACATTTTCTACAGCCTTGCTACTAGCTCTATCTACTGTGCGCTGTGGAATTATATTTCTATGATAAACAAACTCTTTTTCATATGTAACCTTTTACCAAACTCTTTTTCGTATGTAACCTCTTACCAACCTCCTCAATATAACAAAATCTGAAGATATCAACTTATTTGTAATTTCTCCAATAGAAGCCATTCTTTCGTCTTTTCTCTCCTTCCTTCGATTCCTTTGATTGAACAAATTCAATGTTACTATGTGACAAGTTTTGGGACTATAACAGCAATGATTCCCATTTTCACAGAGCTTACACTCTAGTGGGGAGACAGAGAACTTAACAGCCATAATGTTTAATGTAGCTGCAACACAGAGAATGTTTGGGACAGGGACAAGGAAAGACTACTAATCTACGTGGAAGATTATGGTAGCCTAGGCTGACCAGTAGCAGTAAAGATGAAAAGTAAATATATATGACAAATTTAAGAGACTGGATAAGGATTGGGTGTGGAGAATGAGGAAGAAATAGTTCAAATTACTCTTGGACTCTTGGGTTGAGCAGCTATTTGCTATTGTTGTTATCATTCACCAAAATAGGAAACAGAAGGAAGGCAGCTTTGAAGTGGACTTCAGTTCTGAACATGTTAAACCTGAAATGTATCTGTGGTATCCAAAAGGAGATATTTAGGAGACATTTGGCTATATAAGGGTTCTGGAGAGAGATATCCACCAGGAAGATAAATTTGGGAGTCATCAGTATAGACACGGTAATTAAAATCACTGAATAAGATCACTCAGGACCAAGGATAGAACCTTAAGAAAAATCAATATATAAGAAAAAGGCAAAGGAAGAGAAGATAACAAGGAGATCAAGAAGGTGCAATCAGAGAGTGTGGTTACATAAAGATCGAGGAAAGGAAGTTCAAGAAAGAAAGAATCATCACATTGTTAAATACTAGAGGTAAATGAAGTTAACATACAGAGAGAATTATTTAGATTTAGTCATAAGAAGTCTATTTGTAATCTTTTAAGGAGGTTTTACTGGTAGGGATGAAAGCCAGATGGCAGCAGATTTAAAGTAAGAGATACAGGAGGTTATAATTAAATATTATGAATGGAGAAAACAGTATCTGTGGAGAATGAGAAAAAGCTGAGTAGGGGATTTCAGGGAAACATGGAGCACTCAATATCCATTTCATTCTCTTAGGCTGTCTTCTGATACTGGAGAGGTTAGAAACCTAAAAAATTAAAATCTCGGGCTTGCTTGCAGCTAGGTGAGTGGATATAACTTAGATTCTGTCAGTTAGATGCCTCCACAAAAGGTTTGGAAAGTGGAAGTGTGGTGAAGTCTGTATGACTGTTGAGGCAGAGGGTTTGTGGGGTGTGTGTGTGTTTCATCAATAGTAGAAGAGCTCTCAATATTCAGTAGTTTTGTAGGTGCTAAGAAGCAAACTGTAGGGCAGATCTACCAGGTACACTGGGGCTCTGGAGCTAACAGATACAGTGGTGGCTTCTTGATTGCTGAATTATAACTAAAGCGATGTATTTTTGGAGCCAATAGTTCAAGTTCAGGTAGTATCTTCTTAATTCCTGGATCATAACTAAAGGAATAAATTCCTGGAACAACCTGTTCTGGTGGGGGCCTCTGAACTCCTCACCTTCTTGAATGTTGTAGTAATCGTGCCACTAGTGGGTCAGTTCTGTGGTGCTGTTCTGAAGTCATTCTTGAAGGCTCACCTAAATTCCCATTCTTTTGGCTCTTACAATGATTCTTTTTTTAAAGATTTTATTTATTTATTTGACAGAGAGACACAGCGAGAGAAGAAACACAAGCAGGGGGAATGGGAGAGGGAGAAGCTGGCTTCCCGCAGAGCAGGGAGCCCGATATGGGGCTTGATCCCATGATCCTGGGATTGTGACCTGAGCTGAAGGCAGACACTTAATGACTGAGCTACCCAGGAGCCCCTCTTACAATGATTTTTATAAGCACCTAATTCTTTGTAATATATCCCCTTCTGCTTAAAATAGGCAGGCTTCTACTTCTGCAACTGAACAGTGACTGATATAGTGGGCTTATATAATCCTTTCTTAACACTAGATTTTCTAGCCCAGCAGTCCCCCCAAACTAGTTTAACAAATACCAAGGGAATCTGGTAAAAACAGTTTCCAGGGCCCAATTTTTGAGATTCAAATTAATTAAGTTTGGGTGGTACTTGAGGATCTAAATTTTAGAAGAGATGGTCCTTGTCTTTAAAGATGTCACAGTTGTTCGAATATCTTCAATATCTTTTCTCTTTTGGTATATAAATCACTACTTTTTACCATCCTTTTCTCATTCTCATTGCTAGCCTTCTCTAAGGTACCCTCCCACCTTCCTTGATGATTTCCATTATTTGATTCACAGGTGCCCTTTCCACTCCTTTACCTGCTGTTGTGATGAAAGGATTCATTATGCTAACAACACATCAAACACACTGGACTCAAGAGTCTTCCCATCAATTCTAACAACCCTCTTAACTTTACTTATCCTACTCATAAATAAGGTCACAGCATACCTCATTGTTTTTTAAAACTATTCCACATGCTCAGGATTTTGACTTTAAAACTCTACGTGCCTCTTCTCATCCTGTTACTTTTCCTACTATCGAACTCACACACTGGGGATGATAGTATCTCAAGTGTCCTAACTCAGCTCTCTTCTCATACTCCATCAATCACCTTCTAGTCTCACTTGCCTTTCTGTCCAATTTGGACCCATGATCAGTCATAGTCAGCATCTAGCCCAGGGTCTGGGCATTCAACAAATGTTTGTTGAATTAAACTGTCAATGTTTCCATTAGAATAATATCTCATTGCACCCCGTAGTTCTCTAGTTCAGGAGAGACTATGAGAGGAGCTTTCTCTACTACAGTTGACCCTTGAACAACACAAGTTTGAACTGAATGGGTCCACCTATATATGGATTTTTTTCAATAAATACAGTATAGTACTGTAAATCTATTTTCTAATAACATTTTCTTTTCTCTAAGCTTACTATAAGAATATGGTATATAATACATACAACATAAAAAGTATGTGTTTATTGTTTATGTTACTGCTAAGGCTTCCAGTCAACAGCAGACTATTAAGATTTTGGGGAGTTGAGTTATATGTGAATTTTTGACTGTGTGGGGACTGGCACCACTTAACACTGCATTGTTCAAGGGTCAACTGTACCGCTCTTTCTAAATTACCAAGGAGAAGTTTGAAAAATTTATGACAGAGAACAACAGTAACTACACAGCCCAACATATGCTTTGAGAAGGACACCTCACTTGAATTACTAATTTGTTTACTTGATTGATAAAATGTGACATAATCAGTTATTTCCGTTTCTGGGGGAATTTAAGCAGAAAAGAAACATGAACAGAAGATGCAGTGTACTAAGTCAGTTATCTTTAAAATAATACATTTTATTAGTCTAAGTAGTATTCTAAAATAAACCACAAATGTTTTACCTAAAACGCCTCCCCCGCTGCTGGTTCATTTTTGCTCGAGGAGCCACACCATCAACAGCCATAAAGAACACTTTCCTAGGTTTAATAATGCGAAACAACACCTCCAAGTAGTGAAAAATATCAGTGAAGATTTTATCATCTGAAATTCTGAAGTGAACATCATCATCATTGGGATGGGAACATTGATGTATGATTCCATTCATATCCAGGTACAAGTTATCAAATTCAGGAATCTAAGAAATAAAGAAAAAATGATCAAGATTGTTACTATAATCAACGATGGATATTTAAGCAGCTGGGAAAAACAGCTGATAAAAAGCAGGATATAGGGGCATTCTTATTATATAAAAACTGAGAAAATAATCACAGTTGAATAAAGAAAGTAAAGAAAAAATGAACAGGAGAAATTGGTACGATGGAGACATATTATATGGCTATATAATGCACCAATGGCTTGATCAAATTTACTGTCAGGAAATTATCTACTTATTTAAATACCAAATGGGAAAATTTCAAATGAAGTGCTTGGTTCATTTGGTACTCAAACTATTAGTTTGACATCAGCTTTTCTTTCTTTTCTTCTTTTTTTAAAAGATTTTATTTATTTGAGGGGCGCCTGGGTGGCTCAGTCACTAAACGTTTGCCTTCTGCTCAGGTCATGATCCCAGGCCCCGCATCGGGCTCCCTGCTCCGCAGGAAGCCTGCTTCTCCCTTTCCCACTCCCCCTGCTTGTGTTCCCTCTCTCGCTGTCTCTCTCTCTCTGTCAAAATAAATAAATAAAAAATCTTAAAAAAAAAAAAAAAAGATTTATTTGACAGAGAGAGACACAGCCAGGGGGAGTAGGAGAGGGAGAAGCAGGCTTCCCGTGGAGCAGGGAGCCCGACGTGGGACTTGATCCCAGGACCCTGGGATCATGACCTGAGCTGAAGGCAGACGCTTAACAACTGAGCCACCCAGGCGCCCCTTGACATCAACTTCTTAATGCCTCAATTTCCCCTATAAATGGGTAACATAATGTCCATTTAAAAGGCTCTTTGTACATGGTCATTAAAAGATTTTACAAGTGATTTAAAGCCTTAGTGTATATTTGGTTTCACTGAGAGTCACTGATTTGTTCATATTAATTTAGAAAGCTTAGATTATGCCAAGAAATTTAGGAAATTTTGAAAACAGATTTCTTGTTTTTGACATGTGGATTAAAAATATCTTAAACTTTGGCTAACAGGTGTCTACTTTCATAAAAAGACTTTCATGGCTCTGGCTCTCATTCATCTTTCCTTTATTTAAATGTTTGTGAGCAAGTAGGGGGAACACTACTGAAACAAATATACACTAACAAGGAAATGAAGTGGGCACAACTTAATAGTTATAATATCTAATTGTAATTAAAGAATTTGAGTAGTGTGTCTTACATACTAACTAAAGTATTTTGAATTTTCAGACATAAAAACATAATGAACTTTTCTTGTATAAACCTTATGAGAGCCATCTCTGAAACACTTCAAGTTTTACCATATGTACAGAAACGATACATTTTTCTCTTACTGAGAAAATGGCATGCCTCTGAGTTTGGGGAGTGAAAAAGTTTTGGCCTTTGAATCAATGAACAGCATAAAAACGTATTGACAAAACCCCATTTATACGGGATTGTACCAGGCACCACATAAAAAAAATGTAAATGTCCTTACTGAGTAATAAGCTCAAAGGACATGATAATTGTGATCATGAGGTTTAAAAGTATATTCAAGATTTACTATTTGCTTCAAAAAATCTGAACCTCAATCAAAATCTCCAGGTGAGAACTTTACAAAATGATTCCAAAGTTTCTCTAGGAGAATAAACATGCAAGAAAGAATATTAAAAAAGAAAAGTAAATGAAGGAAATCTGCTTTATATGATATTAAAAATTATAAAGGTGATTGAACAAAATAGTTTAGAAATAGTTCAAGTGTGGGGCGCGTGAGTGGCGCAGTCGGTTAAGTGTCTGCCTTGGGTTCAGGTCATGATCCCAGGGTCCTGGGATGGAGTCCCACATCGTTGGGCTCTCTGCTCAGTGGGGAGCCTACTTCTCCTTCTCCCTCTGTCCGTTTGTGCGCACCCTCCCCCCCCACTCTCTGTCAAATAAATTATTAAAATCTTAAAAAAAGGGGCACTGGGTGGCTCAGTTGTTAAGCATCTGCCCTCGGCTCAGGTTGTGATCCCAGGGTTCTGGGATCGAGCCCCACATCGGGCTCCCTGCTCCGCGGGGAAGCCTGCTTCTCCCTCTCCTATTCCCCCTGCTTGTGTTCCCTCTCTCGCTATGTCTCTCTCTGTCAAATAAATAAATAAAATCTTTAAAAAAATAAAATAAAATAAAATCTTTAAAAAAAAGTAGTTT